CTCACCCACCCGCAGCGGAGCCACGCTCTTTTTTTCCTTCTTCTTTTTTTACTGCTCCAGCCCCCCCAATAATAACACATCAATGGGACAGGGGGGTGGGGGGGAGAGGGAGGAGAAGGAAGAAGAAGAAGAAGAAAAAGAGAAGAAAGAAGAGGAGGAGAAGTAGAAGGAGAAAAAGAAGTAAGAAGAAGAGGAGGAGGAGGAGGAAGAGGAGGAGGGAGGGGAGGAGGAGGAGAGGAGGGGCGGGGGCTGCCGGAGGGAAATGGGAGCCGAGGCTTCCCTGCCGGAGCGCGCTTGTTCAATGTTAAGATCTTTGACAATTCTTCCTGCGGAGAGTTCAGATCTGATAGCCACGCTGCGCTTGAAGTCTCAGTATTTATACTTCCTACAGGCGGCCCCTTGTTCTGAGTAAATTACCTCCCCTCGCAACTCGGAGTGAGCCCCTGCCCGGGTAGCAGCCGCGCCACTACCTGGGGGAGGAGGAGGAGGAGAGAGAGAGAGAAAGAGAGAGAGAAAAGGAGAGAGACTGAGAGAGAGAGAGAGAGAGATTGATGGAGGCTGGGGCCCGAGCGGGCGGGAGTGGGAGGGCAGCGCTTGGGGACCTGCGGGGGCGGGGAGAGGAGGCAGGTCCCCGGCCGTCCGGCTTTTCGGATGGCCCCGGCCGCCTGTGCTCTTGGCCATTAATCCAAGATTGACAAGACTCCCTAATTAATTTAATTAGGCGTGGATTTCGCGTTGGTGTCACGACTTAGTTAAACACTGGGGAGCTGGATGGACTCCGCGGGGGCGGGGCCAAGAGGAAACTGACAAGTGCGCGGCTCCGGGAGTCACTCGGGTATCCCGACGCCGCAGCCGACCCTCCAGCTCGCCCCGCGTCAGGGGCTCGCGCAACTGCTGGACCCCACATCGCTGCCCCGCATCCCTGCCCCGCATCCCTGCCCGCACCGCCCATACGCCTCGCATCGCGATCCTACATCCAGACCCTTCGCAACCCGATTCCGCACATCCACCCGTCTACCCCTGCTGTCCCCTCTCCGCACCTCTACCGCTCCGCTGCTTCCAGCCTTCGTATTTCCTGCCCAGACTCCGGGTTCGCTGAAGCTATTCCGACTCGCGCGGCTCCTTTTAGATTTCCAGACCGGGGATAAGCTGAGCCCAGGTCTTCACCGAACTCCTTGCCCCGGTCGGTGTAATTCACCCCAGGATTCGCGTCCAGGAGAGTCTAAGCCTACTCCTCTGTTCAAAGGGACCGGTCGATTTAACAAGTTTCCCGAGCAGCTGTTCCCTGACAGATCCCATTTTAAAGTGTTTCCTTAGCGCCTGGTCAAGGACAGCCCGACTTCGTTTCCTCTCTGGGATCTCAGGACTCTTACCCTTCTCCCTGACAACTCTCTGTACCTGAAACCCCCCACGATGAAACACCGGAGTGGTTTAGATCACTTAACATTCTGGCTGATTTCCTAATTCCGAAAAACAACAAATTTTCCCTTTTCGAGTTTGAAAAAACATCGACCTTAAGTTTGTGCCTCATTTTACTAATATTATGTTTAGAAAGATAAGCTCTCCTGGAGAAAAGGTCTTTTTCTCCCCTTTACCCCTGTACAATTTAAAAGTCCATTTCTGGACTATTTACATCGAAATGGGTTGTTATATGTGAGGGACATGTTCCTGAGTCATTTGTCTGTGTTGTGCAGACAGGGCATGCTGTGATAAGTGTAGCTATACAGACATATGCTCACAAAAGAAAATTTACATGTAGAAAGTAATATTTATTTGAATGTGTAAACAGATCTTCCTTTTTAAGTGTAGTTTTGGGGACTTTTCCAAATAATCACAATATCAACACAGATTTCTTAATGCTATAAAGGTAACTTGTTCATTATCTTGGATCTCATACCCTCATATTCTTAGTAAGAAAAGCAATTACAGAACATTAATATTAATATCTTCCACCCATCGGTTAGAGCATCAAAACAAAGTTAGCAGATAATTTAAGAAGTTCCATCAAAAGAACCTGAACCATTTGTAAAAAGAGAATGCAACATAACTTGATATATTAGTGTTTCTTGAATATATGCAAATAGAAGCTATATATAACTTTATGTTATATTACAAGAGTCAGATTAAAATGTTCACATTTGGTGAATTTAAAGAAAGAAGAAATCATGCATTTTAAAAATGTTGCTTTGTCTTTTTTTCTCATGAATTCTGAAATCTATTTTTTAAAACATTTTATTTCTTGTAATTTTTTTGAGAAACAATTTCAGTCTTTACAGTAGCAATTTCAGTAGCAATAACTTTTTAGGTATTTATGAATTATATGCATATTTAGTTTGGTTTTTAGGATACCAGAAGAAAAGACTCAAATATTCAAACTTGCTTGAGCTGCTCTCTATAACCACTTTATGACAGTAACAGAAGAGAGTGGTCATAAAACTTCAGTCCTTATGAAAGTCCGATTTTATGATTATTTAGAATGACCAGTAATGGGGTCCTCTAAATGGATAGGGCACTCAAAGAGATCTCAAACTGAAATGTTAAATACGTATTCACAGACAACTCCCAAATAACCACTATTAGAAGTCTGCTAACGGATCCGGAGAACCAGCAGCTACTTCTTTGTCCTTTCAAGTATATGCTTTTTAAGCCTGAACTCATACTCTATCTACTGAACTTGATGACCACTTTAGAGATAATTGGAAAGTTCACACAACTCTCGTCTAATTCAGACCAATAGCTTTCCCCATGATCTCAGTTTATTGGCTTGTTGTGGATTTAGGAAGAACGGTGTTGCTATCAGACCAAGCTAGAGCAATCTGCAGTCTCACCATGGATTCCCACCGACCTAAGTGAAGTTTAATTTTTAAACATCCAAGGTTTAAAACCATATATTCAAAAATACTCACTAATTTATAGTAATGTTGTTTCATTAAATAGTTAATATTTTCCAGAGACAGGACATTGCAAACATGTAGTTTTGACAAAAAGCATTGTAAGTAAAGTTCAGCTGACAGCCTGTAGACAGATAGACAAGTTCCAGTAAAATTCAGGACTCCAAGGGTGGCCCAGTTCTTTATTGTTTAAAATAATATAGTAGTGTAGTTAGGGTATTTTAAAAAATAATTATTTATTCCATTTTGTTTCTTTTTCTTTTTCAATTTGACCAGAGAGAGACAGAGAGATAGAGACAGAGAGAAGGACAGTGAGGAAACAAGCCACCAGGTCCAGGGCTCAAACCACAGTCAGCCATGTGGGAGTTCAACACCTTAACCACCATGCCACCTGCCGGCCCCAGTTAAGTTTTTTTTTTTTTTAAGAATTATTTTATTTAACTTTAATTTATTTAAATTTGACCAGAGAGAGAGACAGAGAGAGAGAGAGTAAGAAAGCCACCAGGTCCGGGACTTGAACCTCAGCCAACCATGTGAGAGTCCAGTGTCCTCAAGCTCCATGCCACCTGCCAGTCCAGTAGTTAAGTTTTGAAAGGTCCCTCAAAACTAGCTACTGTAAGATAGAGTTATTTACAAGAAGTATGTTGTGGGAGTGGTTTTCACCACCTGAAATGGCTGAAAAACTGCTGTGTAGTAAACTAGCAATTGTCTCTGAGTTGATCTAAATAAGACCAAGAGTTTATTCACCTCCGTAGCTTTACTTATAAGTACAAAATAAGAGAAAAATGATTTTCGTGCAAGGGAAAAATAAATAATGTAGCATGGAGTTAAAATACTGAGTTGCTTTAATTTCTATTGGCTTAAATAAAAAAATTCCTATAAATTTAATTTATTTTTTAGGGAAAAGCCTCCTCTCCTGCCTCAGGCAGCTTTATCTTATTTCTCAACCAACCAGTTACTTCAATCTGAGAAACTAATTTGCACCCAACCTGTGAGTGGCTTCACCTTGGGGCAGATAAAACACTGACTGTTAATGCTTTTTTCTTTTTTGGCGAATAAATCATTACAATTTAATCACGCACGACTCTATACAGACACATTCCCCTGATTTATTATTGTTTGGCAAGTTTCCCCCTCCCCCAGTAGGAGATCACCAATTTTGCTACGTGTGGGTGTTTTAAACATAATTTCCTAAGATGCAGATTTGTGTACTGATTATCTATGGCGATAACGACGATTACCAAGGCAGTAACATAGTCCAATCCCACCTTCACTGCTTTCTGAGAACAAGAAAATCAAATTAAACAAGCACGAAAACAAACACCAAACAAAAAATTGGCGGCGTGACAATCCACTCTCTCCGTATTCCAGTCGCCTGGCAGCCTCTATCGATGCGCTCGAAAGCTCGGCTGACGCTGTCTGGCGCTGGAACCAGGAAGGCGCTGAGCTTAAACTGAAGCAAGTTCCGAGGACGCTGGCGGCGCCCTGATCTGAAGGCACGTTTCCAGATCCGCGGCGCTTGCACGTCAACGAGAAGTGTGTGAGCGAAGATCCAGACCCAGGTGATGCCCGCGTCCAGGCCCTGCAAGGCGGCGCCCGTGGCTGCGGGGTTGCGAGGCCCTGCCTGAGCGTGCGGCGGCGTGGGGCCTGCCGCGATCGGTGGCTGGGAGTGGGCCCAGGGGTGGGCGGTGGCCCGGCGGCGTGCAGCTCGACACCGTGCGCATGCGCCCCGCACCTGCGAGGTTCCCGAGTCTCCGGGTCAAGGTTGGGGATTGTGGGGTGGTGGGCGGCCGCAGGCCTTGAGCTTGGCGCTGTCTGAAGGTGGTGGGGGAGGCTTAGCCTATTCCCCCCGCTCGCGGGCTCTGATCCGTGATCCCCGTGTTCATGGGCGCTTCCTCGCTAGCTCTAGGTAGGAAGGAGCAACAGGGAGGCTGCATCCTGATCGGTTCTGCTGCCTGTACCTTAGATCCCACATTCCTTCTGACTCAGCGTGACCCTTGCCAACTCACACAGCTCGCTGAGATGGTGCAGGGTGAAATAGACCTTGCTGTCTTGAAATATGCTCGCCTTAAACACTGTATGTTCCTTCTGTCTGGACTGGTCGCCATG